GACGGACTCTGTTCTGATCCTGTTTAGTCATTCCGCAGACTGTTCTTCACAAAAATTCTTGAATTCGGGTTGGGGAATTACTTGACTATATTCTGTCGTGGGTGGTCCTGCACGTCGCTTCCGGCCCCGCATTCAGATGGCGCCAGTATAAGGCGAAAGCGTGAGACAGCCCAAAACGAATTGGTCATTGGTTCATTGTCTCCAAGTTTGATCTAATAATCATAAAAACGGTCTTATTCCAGATGTTGACTATATTGAATACGTTCCCGTCTGCATTCAATCTAGGGTTTGATATTCTCGATGGCAATTCAGGATGCAACGAAAATGGAGATATTTCTGCCGCATACAATGGTAAGTTCAAACTTGGAGAACTAAAACTGTCAATTGGACGTTATCCCACTATGTCCTCGAGCTGTTCTCGTAAAAAATAAATATTTTAAAATGATAATTGTCAAAAATATCGACGTGTCTAGAGCGTCTTGAGAAACTTACACTTTTTCACCTGGAAGTGTAGGGAGGGAGTGCGTCAACTTGGAGCCACAGCTGAATTGACAGCAAGAAGGAAATTATCGGGGAAAGAACCCGCTGTTTAAAAGCTCGGTGGCTACTTAAATGCAGTAGACATGACTGGAAAGTGTACAGGCAAACCACTTGCTTCTCCACCTTCGCCGCTCTGGGTGCCCCACCAGTCAGGCTGCAATGAGGTCACCGTCGTCGACCGGGTGACAAAGAGCTCCCTCCCCCTAGTCACCTGTGATAGGTGGCTCATTCGCTCTCCTAGGTAGTAGTTCACCCTCAATGATTCATCGCAAAGCGGACGGCGCTTTGATAAAACTAGCAGAACTGTAACCTCCAGTGAAACTAGTACAGCCCAAAAGTAAGGGGGAAATATCTACTATAGCAGCCACTATGCAGCAAATTTTCCGCAGAAGTCCTTCCGTGCAACATCTCTTGGGCTTACTCGGTTGCCTATCTAGCCATATATAGGTTGTAACTTGCAATTTGTCAGGGGCGGCGAGCGCAGCACGGCACGAGCTCGCGTCGGCTGCCTTGTTCTACCAATGGTGATCGAGCAATGATCGATGTAAGAAG